TAGCAGTGTCACAGTATAATTCATATGGCTCATCGTTTCATCGCCGTCTTAGTAAATGTCCACAGGGCCATACTATAAATCGTTCGCAAAACTTTTTTCTCAAGAACCCTCACGATCGACTGCTTCTGCACCATACAATACGGGGGAATGCCTACTCAGTGCACAGTAGTGCTTGTTGGTAAGAGAGATTCTGCGTTAGATTTCATGGCTGACATTATTATTGGTGTTTTTCTATGCATTATATACGAATATCACGATCGTGAAGAAGAGTTTTGTTCCTACAGAAATATGTTCCGATCTTTTTGCGAATTGCGTTAAAGTTTAATTCATATTAGGCAAACAGCGCTACAAATTCTTCGTACCAAACCAATTTTAGTACTCTTTTCTAATGTCTGCTTCCTTCTTCAACTCTCTCTGCCTCTCTCTCTCTTTATATCTCTGTCTCTCTCACTCTCTGTTTCTATCTCTCTCTATCTTTCTATCTCTCTCTCTCTTTCTATCTCTCTCTCTGCTTCTATCTCTCTCTCTCTTTCTATCTCTCTCTTTCTACCTCTCTCTCTCTCTCTCTTTCTATCTCTCTCTCTTTCTATCTCTCTCTCTCTTTCTATCTCTTTCTCTCTTTCTATCTCTCTCTCTCTCTTTCTATATCTCTCTATCTCCCTCTCTCTCCCTCTCTTTTGCTATCTCTCTTTCTACCTCTCTCTCTCTCTCTCTCGATATCCCTCTACAGCTGTCATCCGTTAAACAAATTTACAACGCTTACATTCCCTGGGGCAGCAGTTATTGTTATTATTGTATACGTTGTTGTCAAGCAGAGCGATTTATGAAAGCATTTATGGTAGTAAAAGTATACCAATAAAGGACGCTTTGTTTTTAGTGAAGTAAATTAATCATAAAGCGAGTAATTGTACTCAAAACAAAAGCGAATTGTATTTGTATATTCGTATGTATATGTGTTCCAAGCGTCAGATTGTTTCAATTTCCATTGGATCTTTCGTAGGGGGGGCGAGGGAAATGGTTTCAACAAAGAAACGTATTTAGTGTAGAGATTTTCTTAAGAATTGGTAGAAGGAGAAATTGCGATGGAACAGAAATGAAAAAAAAAACATTTGTTTTGAGTAATTGCCGAGTTCCAAATAAATGCAGCTGTATGTATGTATATATGTGTGTACATATCATTTCTGTTCTCTTATCGATGACAAACCGCAGCTTATTTTCCTGCTGCTCACAGTAGTATGAAAGTAAACAGAAGAAGTAAAAAAAAAATCAGCCAATAAACTAACACATCTAACCACAACACCACAGTTTGAGGATCTTACGAGTTGAAGAGAACGGTGGCGTAAGAACGGTTGCGCTCTACTTGAAATGAAGTGTTAAAAAATAGCTAAAGATAGCAGAGCGGGTGAACAGCACAGCAGGGCGGACGGTGAATGTCTTACTTAGTAACGATGGACTTTTGAGGGCGCATGAGTAAGCGACTTTCACTAAACTGTTCACGCTAACGTTTGTATATGACACATATACATACATGCATTTATACGTATAACAAGCCCATATACATACATATATATGTATGTTGTATATACTCGTATTTACATGCAATGGTTATATTTATGCAATGATTTGTCACAGCAACGAATAAAGTATGCCCTCCTCCCAATCACGCTACTGCCACATGATATCTGCGTTGGTACAGGCGTTCGATATACGCAATTTCTGTGTCTGAAAATAACTTTTGCACTCCATGTTGCAGCTATGAGATCCCGGTCGTTGCACAACTTTCCAGTGACTACATATGGCCAGCTGTGATTGGTGGCCAATACGCAGACGTGGCGTGCCAATCGAAAATATTTAGTTCAATATTTGCAGCTGATGTCTGATGTGCATGCAGTGAGATGTGGAAAAACGCCAAAGTAAAGCCAACACCATCCGCCTATCCGGCCACATGCTTTAATTCCATTTTCTTCGTTTCCCTACCTGCTATTTTAGTGCAGGTTTAAAAATAGAGTTGGAAACGCCAGCGAATTTTGCATTTGAGCACGTTTAAAAATACACATACACGAACATATTGTACTTACATATGTATGCATATATGTACATATGTAAGTATGTAGCGAAATATTTATTTTTTAATTTATATTTGTGAACTTTTTATTTTTATGATTTTCACATTTATTGCTCTCAAAATGTTTCATTTTGTTATTTGAATTTTCAAAAGTGCAATTGTCACCGTTTACTTGTATGTACATATGCATGTATAAGTCCACATATAAATTAACCCAAATTAATACAAACAAACAAAATCAGCAGCTGAAAATTCGAAGAACAAAATATAAGAAAAAAAACTCACTTCACTCCACTTTACTCCACTCCACGAATGCAAACAAACAAACGACGAAATGATACCAGCAACAACAATGGCGGAACAACGGTATTGAAAATGATTAAAACAGATCCGCGTCCGCGCGAACACTGCAACGGAACAAGATGGCAACAACTGTGGCGCTGACAATGGCGAACTGACAATTTGAACGTTGGCGATATACGCTGCACAACGAATTCGCATATACTTTATGGAAAACCGAAGCAAACGAATCAGCCCAACAAATGGCAGAACGCACTCTACGCGTAAGAATATTGAACTCGTAGCGGCACACTACTCCACACTACAACATCGTCCCCAACACTGGCTCCATATGCCCGAGGAAGAGTAGCCACAACAGTTTCAACATTTCCGTCAAGAAATCTGCACACTTGCAAACCCAGTATTTTTTCATGTAGATTAGAGCGTGTGCTGTGTGGGTGTGTGTGTGTGTGTGATTGTTGCTACCCGGTATTTTTTTGTTTGACTTCATGTTAATGTTTCTCTGCCGATCATCACACATTTACGCTAGTGTGATCTGTACGCAAGGTTGCATTTTTTATTTTGAAATTTAAACATTTTTTAATTAACGCATAGCACGGAAATAAGAAAAAAAGGGGATCAACCAAAATTAGATTATTGAATATGCTTTTAAAGTAATCGGTTTAAAAATAAGATTTTATATAAATAAAAATCAAGGAAGCAACAAGCAAATAAACAATATTAAAATGCAACAAAGAAGAAGACTACAGTGCAAAGCCAAAAATTTAATTGGTAGCTACATCAATAATCGGAAACAGTGTTGCATATTAAATTGGTTAAATTAGTCAAAGATTATGAAACTAAAAAAATAATACGGCTTTTCCACGGCATCGTGCATTACAATGACCGTCCTCTCAAATTTAATATACAAATAGTGTTCGGTATTAAATAAAAGTCTGTGTTTTAGTGTTTTCTTCTATGATTTTCATTTATTTTGTTTTGACTTGTCAGCTGATTTTGATAAAATTTCGATAAGAAACAGGAAAAGCAACGATTTGGTCGTAATTCGAAAGGTAACTGAAAATATATTACCCACATTCGGTGTAATTCGCTCTCATATATGCATATGGCGAATTAAGTAATTCGGCATGTATTTCGAGTACGAATAACAATTGAAAAAGCGAAACACGTAAATGGGCTATCGTGGAAATGACGAATAAAAATAATTAACGAAAAATAATTTTGGCTACAGTGTGAATCAATTGTATCATATTGTAGGAATGCATAAGATAAGCAATGACACCAACCAAAATCAAGCAAAAATTTCTTAATAAACATTTTTTTTTTGGTCACCCTGTTGCTCTGACACAGCGGTTTCGATATTTGGAAAGAATAAGCAGAGAAACAGAGAATTTATAATAATTATTGTTATAAGTCCTCTGCTCTACCAGAGAAGAATAATTACAATAGATTCTCTGCTCTAATTAGTTAATGAAATTAAGAAAAGAATTTATGTTATGTAAGAATTCATTACCGATATTTTAAAAAATATTTTGCGTGATTAATATTTTTATTAACTAACTCAATCTTTATAGAAGCCAAAAAGTATGCAACAATTTTGTCAATAAATACAGTCGCTGCTAAATTAATGAAATTAAAATTTCTTACTTGTTTATACCTTTCATGAATATGAATAGCACTGAAATTCAGCGAAATTGGTACTATTGAGGTTTTGGGGAAGAATCCGTCATAAAAGCGACTTAAGGCGTGGATCTTTTAAATCTCTACGCATAAATTTAAATAAACATTGACACAGAAAGTCATTGAGTTCAGAAGACTATATAATATAGAATTTTAATGTAATATTTAAGAACGAAATACCATAAAACTTAGATAGTCATGAGAGGTGTGAAAGTCTGCGGCATGGCCACGACCATTTCTTGTTATTTTCTTGCATTGTCGACTGTTCGCTGTTGGGCACGACTACCAGTATGAAGTATTTAAATAAATATTAAATAAAATAATCAAATAAAACATTCCTTCAAGTTGAAATCGTAATTAACTATTTATTACAATATTGTTCAGATATTTATTTGACGTTTAGATTTGAATGTAAAATATCGTCCTTGGAGGCTACGGTTATAGGTTTTGACAATATTTCGGCCGAAAAATATAAGGGAATGTGTTAAATAGCCATAAGTTAGAACTGAAGAATTTCGCCTACAATACTTACTTTACGACTCTTTTTTTATTTGAAATGCATAATCTCTTAGCGCTTTTTAAAGATATTAATATAAAACACAAATTTTTTAAGCCTAAATTTTTAAAATGATTTTATCATGTAATTGCTATTTATAAATCATTCAAAAAGTCTTAAGTATAGATTATAATGTTGAAAAGTAAAATGTTTTATTTTCATTTCTGAATACCAATCAAAGTTACTAAGCTTATGACTCAAAACAGTTGTTCTTAACGATTTAATATAAATATTTTTTGAACTAACTTAAATATTGTTATTTATAAAATGCATATTCACAAGGCTACCTAATTACTAGCAAACACTACAACCATGTTTAACTGTCATTTTGACATTTTACTGCTCTGCCTTTGGTCACATGACCGCACGTGACAGCTCCAATATTACCGTGAATATTTATTTTCTATATTTCAGTGTGAATTTTTCTTCGTACTCCATCGACGTCGTAACGCGCAGCTGATTGTCCACTACCAGAAAAAAGTATCTGGGTGCAGTAGTAGAGAAAAATTCTTATTGGAAAATTGTGCGTGTGTAAAAGATATTTTAAATCGTAACATTGCAATTGGAGAATAATAAGGAACATCTCTTGTTTTTTTTTCTTAGATTGATTAAAGTTTGTTTGCTAACAAACGGTTTCGTGAGATTCACAATCGGAGCGCAATAAATCGTAGAAAAGATGTCTATATCTGCTAAGCAAGCTAACAGGGAACACGTCCTGGCCGTTTCCCGTGATTTCATCTCTCAGCCACGTTTGAGTGAGTAATTCAATAAAAAATTGGTCAGGTCATTTGTAAATCTCAATAACGATGCCTGTAAAAAATTAGGTCCGCCATTACAGTCAGTAGAGCTGCGCGAATTTTACGAAAGAAGAATTGACAAAATCGATAAAAATTCGACGTAGCTGCATTTATGGGCGATCTTTTTATCTTGTCCATAATTTTGCAAGAGTTTGACCCATTTTTTAGTTTGGACACTTGTTTTCGTAATTAAAATGAATGTAATTTGTGATCATGAGGCTTAAGAGAAGATTACTAAATATATTTTCTAAGAAATTTAAGTGCTTAATTATCTAAAAGTGTAAAATCTTGCATTTAGTGCCGTCATGTGACATTGGTGTTGCTGTGAATGACAGCAGCAGAGAATGAGTGAAAGCACCTGACCAAACGGCAAACAGTTAAAATTCATATACATATCTAAAGTTAGTTATTTGATGGTAGAATTGTTTAATAATTAATAATTTGTAGTTTTCACAAATTTTAAAATATTTAAACATTAATATTAACTGCATTTTGTTATGTTTTCAAATGCATTCCTTCGTTCATTTCTATTAACTATTTATGCACAAATCTACATAAAATAATTTTAGTATCATTGAAAGTAAAATTAATACAGATATTTTATATAATTAGTTGTTTTTCTTGAATGCCGTCATTTTTCTCTGTTTATCTTCTACTGCCATTCGTTACTGTTCAATTTGCAGTCAGCTGACGTTCGTTACGTAGTTTGACTTCTCTTATCTGCGTCGATAAAAGAAGTCAATTAACTAATGTCTTTTTATTTGTAAGCAGCGAACTTGCTGTTCATGTGCCTAACCACGAGATTAATTAAAGATATTTTATCGAATTTTTTTTTATATGATTCTAATGATTAAAATTGTATATTTTAATTTTAATTTTCATAGCCTACAAGACCGTGTCTGGTGTCAACGGTCCCTTGGTCATTTTGGATGAAGTTAAATTCCCAAAATTCGCCGAAATCGTGCAATTGCGTTTGGCTGATGGCACAATCCGTTCCGGACAAGTGCTCGAAGTGAGCGGCTCAAAGGCTGTCGTTCAGGTGTTCGAAGGTACGTCGGGTATTGATGCGAAGAACACTGTGTGCGAGTTCACTGGTGATATTCTGCGTACACCCGTGTCAGAGGATATGTTGGGTCGTGTGTTCAACGGCTCCGGCAAGCCCATCGACAAAGGTCCCCCAATTTTGGCTGAAGATTTCTTGGATATCCAAGGTCAACCCATCAACCCATGGTCTCGTATCTATCCCGAGGAAATGATCCAGACAGGTATTTCCGCTATTGATGTAATGAACTCCATTGCGCGTGGTCAAAAGATTCCCATCTTCTCTGCTGCCGGTTTGCCACATAACGAAATTGCTGCTCAAATCTGTCGTCAAGCTGGTTTGGTTAAGGTAAATTTTTAAATTCCTCTCAAAATATATTGTAAAATAATTTGGTTTGTGATTTTTTGCTACCATCTTAGGTCCCTGGCAAATCTGTTTTGGATGATCATGAAGATAACTTTGCCATTGTATTCGCTGCTATGGGTGTAAACATGGAAACTGCACGTTTCTTCAAACAAGATTTCGAAGAAAACGGCTCTATGGAGAACGTGTGTTTGTTCTTGAATTTGGCCAACGATCCAACCATCGAACGTATCATTACACCACGTCTCGCCTTGACCGCAGCCGAATTCTTGGCATATCAATGCGAGAAGCACGTATTGGTCATCCTTACCGATATGTCCTCATATGCCGAAGCTTTGCGTGAGGTATCAGCTGCACGTGAAGAAGTGCCCGGTCGTCGTGGTTTCCCCGGTTACATGTACACTGATTTGGCTACCATCTATGAGCGTGCTGGTCGTGTTGAGGGACGTAATGGTTCCATCACACAAATTCCCATTCTAACTATGCCTAACGATGATATTACCCATCCAATTCCTGATTTGACTGGTTACATTACAGAGGGTCAAATATACGTCGATCGTCAATTGCATAACAGACAAATCTATCCACCAGTTAACGTATTACCATCATTGTCACGTTTGATGAAATCTGCTATTGGTGAGGGCATGACACGTAAGGATCACTCTGATGTCTCCAACCAGCTGTACGCCTGTTACGCCATCGGTAAGGACGTGCAAGCCATGAAGGCTGTCGTGGGTGAAGAGGCTCTGACGCCCGATGATTTGCTGTACTTGGAGTTCTTGACTAAATTCGAAAAGAACTTCATCTCTCAGGTAAAATTTTTAATTTTTTTTTTATAAATATCTACATATGTGATAGAGAAATTTTTATGATTGCCACTTTCGTAATACTTGTATTTTTTCCCCCTCCCACAGGGTAACTACGAAAACCGTACCGTCTTCGAGTCATTGGACATCGGCTGGCAATTGTTGCGTATCTTCCCCAAGGAGATGTTGAAACGTATCCCAGCTTCTATTCTGGCTGAATTCTATCCCAGAGACTCGCGCCATTAAATTTGTTAACAAAACATATTGCTTTGCTTTTTGTTTTATTGGTTTTACATTTAAGCTGCAGTTTATTTAAAGCGATGCGCCATCAACCTACATACATTCAACATTTATAGTTAATATATATATATATAGAGAGAGAGAGAAAGCGCGTTGCAAAATCGGTTAGTTCTTTCAAATATACATACAATTAATGTCAGTTCATCCAAACGAAAATAAAGCAAGAATTAAGTTTAATTGTAAAATGGGAACGAAATATACAAATGTGTTATACACAATGCAATATGCTTTAAATTGCAACTGAAAATGCAACTGCAAGTGAAACTAATAAACACCTGCATATATTAAACGAGCGAAAAGAAGAAAAAAATAGTTAGCAAAATATAAAACAAAAAGAATTGAAATAGCAATGAGACGCGCTTGAAGGATTCATTCACACGTCCGCTATGTGTGGCGTTACAATATTTTATTATAACTAATTAAATTATACTATAAATGTGTTAGAGAAATTTTATGCACGTTATTAAAGTATTTGAATTTGAAACAAAAAAAAACAAAAAGAAAAAACAAAATAAAATTCAGAAAACAAACGTCATTGTAAAGCATAAAGGGGAAAAACAAACTAAATAACACACGTACACAGTAATTAATAATGTAAATAACTAAATGTTTAGAAAACAAATTAAAAACAACGCAACAAAATCGTTTTTCTTTCGTGCTTCATATACGTTTTGTGTAAGAATTTTGTAAATTACAATACATACATATATGTTTATCAGATGTTTGCGTCGAGTATATAATTTTTATTGTTTAATTTTATTGAAGAAACTTTTAATTGAAATTAAAGCCAACACAACAATATTCTAAATATCTAATGCAATGACCCACACTCACACTCCACACACACAACCAACAACACCACCAACACGACTAACAGTCGCAGTTTCTAAATTATATAATATTTGTTTGTTTGTTTGTACGTTTTTGTCGCGCTTTTTGTTAGTTTTTAAGTTTGAAACCCCAGCTTGAAGAATCAAGTTGCAAAAATAGCATGCACTCACACTTACACACATACACATATAGCATTCCAACTTAAAGTTAATTTTAATTAACAATTAAAAAAAAAATAATAATTGTTTTATTCATGCATGTTTGTTGCTACAAGTATTAACCGAATCTGTCCCCGAAACCCTGTCTCACACGCACACGAACACCACAAGCACTTGGCGCAGTTTTCTTGACAAATGCGTACATCCGAGTTGCACCCACTCAGCCAGCTCAGTCGATCTGTAAATCGATTTAATAAACCCTGTAAGTGAGCCGTTGTACTTTTAATTAAATTTGTTTTCTTCGTTTTTTTTTCTCATTCATATTTTACATACATATTTGAAGCTTTCTATACACACAAAATATACACTACATCTACTTTTGTGTAAAAGTAAAAAAAAAAAAAATTTTATCACAAGTAAAAAATACTTAATAATTATATTTGTTGTAACATTTAAAGGTAAAATTGCAGGAGCAAAAATTTGTAGAAAAAAAACAACAACTATTAATTACATAAATTTAAAGAAAAATAAAAGATTTATGTATGTATAAAAGAAAAAATTAAAAATTACGAAAAACTATGTACTATATATCAACTACAAGAATAAAGTGAGAGACAAAAATGTATTACTCTGTTAAATGGATGTTTTTATTGGCCTTTGAGGGTCTGATTATGTTTATAACTTAAATTTTATTAAATAGTCTTTGTTCAGATTACAAAAAAAAAAACTAAAGTTGCAGTTCAATTCGTGTTTACCGTGAGGGTGTCCATAAGATTAACACTCGATGACTGAGTAAATTTATTTTTTAACAGTTATTTTGGTAACCAGAAATCAAGAGTAACACTTGCAGAGACCAGACGTTGTATAGAACCGGGTGTTGTTGTTGTTTTTGTTGTTGTTGTTGTTGCAGCGGTTCGTGTGAGTTCCTAATCGCCCTTGAGCGCGATCCGTCCTAATAGCACTAGATCTGTGCAAAAGCCTTTGACACCGTCAATCAATAGGTGTCACTATGTTTAATTTTAAGATATCGAGATATGGAGCGGAGGCTCTCCAAAGGTCGCTTGATTGATTTCATATGCGGATGGCTGCTAGATTTTGGTGCCTGGCTGGGAAATTGATAACTTCTTATGTTAGAAAATCAACATCTTCACTGCACTACATCCACAAATGAATCCACAAAATCTTCATCTACCCTTTTCACCAACTGGATGAAGAAGTACAGGTTGAACTCGATATGAGAGTCGTTGGCTGGCTGGCTGATTGCAAATAACGCAGCTAAAATTCGGTTGCCGGTGACTAGCCAGACGAACAAGCTAAAAAAATGTCAGAAAGCCACCCAAAGACATTTACTTGAGCTTGAACCTCCACCTAGGCACATTAGTAAGGGAGTTCATTAGGAAGGGAGACTGCACAGACACCATTTAGCACCATAGGCAAGAACTGCTGTATAGGACGGCTTGCCGACAGGCTTTAAATGGCAATCACTGACAGTGCATCAACACCTTCTTGAATTCTCTTCCAATGGAAGGCGTTCTCGGAATCCAAATAACAACAATTGCAGATAAAGAGCTCTAGTAGGTTCAAGAGACCAGAGTAATGCATGACGCTAACCACCTATTTGCAAGATCCTTAAAACTTACTCATCTGGCATGTATGGTTTCTCAAGTGGTTGATGTCCCGGAAAATATTAAATCGGATTTTGTACAGAGCTGATTCGTGTAGCAGAGTAATTCTGTCGGATACATTGAGTTTGCGGGGAGAACATTTTCAATCAGTGATAAAGAAAGCTTACAGGCACTGTATGTGAGAAAAGGAATACCAACTATGTACCGCTCAATTCCCCTTCTGTTGGTCAAAGTTGGGCGCTTCTTGTCGATTACTTCTTTCAGACACTCCAATTGCTGGCATATAAATCTCATTTTAGAGTTTTGCCACAGGAGAGCAGCTTATAGAGCGCAATAAAGCCTTCCCAGCCGTCAATCATATTATGACGATTCAGCAGCGATTCGCAAATGGATATTTAGTCCATGAGGTTTTTTCTCGCTTACTGATGTGGCACTCATTCATTGGGCTTCTTTTATAAATTTTGCACGATCATCTCGGCATACTACGGTCAGCGCAAGATGGGTGTCAAGACTATTCACAGCGCCGCGAAAACAGGATCCGCGTTGTGTTGGTTGTCCTGTATCAGATTGGCTTCAATATTTTCACTCACCCACCTCCCACCCGCCAAGACTTGGCCCCGAGTGAAAACAACTTATCAGCCATGATGAAGTTAAGAAGACAGTTTGGGCGTTTATTGAAGATAAAGCGAAATAATTTTTATGAGGGCGTACATATTTTGATTGAAAGGTCTGAAAAATGTATTCATATACACCTGAGAGGAAGGATTTGCGGAATAATTAAAGTCCCATGGCGTTAAGGGGCAGTGATTACGAAGGATACATCATGTCCTCCGCCTTTCCTTTCCCTTAAGGAGATTGAATAGAGACGAATCTGGTTTCTCTTGGAGTCAAGTAACAAAAAGAAAATGGACTGACGTGAAGAGACTAATAAAACAGAGAGCTGATATTATTTATTTATTAATTTTTTTTTTTGTAGTACAATACATATTTACAACGGTACTAAACTTTAGTAATGCAACAACATAACAAATAAGAGCAAAAACAAAGTCTTCAAAGAGCTATTAATGACTAAAATTTTGACCAAAATATCAGAGTAACGCTTTTCTAGAAATTTCCACTACAAATTATTGATTTGAAAGGAAACTCCGTTCACTGTCTGAATTGCCAATGTAACCATAATCAACATAATACCAAAAGTAAATTTGTGCATCAGCACGCCGATGCCTGCGGACGTGCTGCAGGGCATTTGATTTTTCACACCGTAACGACAGACGCATTCACCATGATCACATCTCATTGGATCGCCTTGATCTTGCGCGCCGCCGTTTTGGCAATGTTCATCCAACGTGCAATATGCGCCGAGCTCTGTGACATATAATATATTATATACACGTATGTATGTATATCGAATGAAATTTTTTGTATTATTTTTGAGTTCTACTCACGCACTATCAGCTCGCAAATATTTCTCATAATAACGATGCCATTGTGTGCAGCGCTTTTTTTCATGACCACCAAATATCCTTCCTTACATTCGCATGTACCATTAGCACAAATCCCGCCCGGACCCACTACTGCCTGGCACTGTGCTGTTGCACTGCAACTTTCATCGAGATTTCGTGCCGGTAGACAATTCTCCGAGTTATTTTGACTAACATAGCCCGGTTCACAAACACACTCGCCGAGGTCGGGTTGGCAAACTTGATGCTGGCCACATTCTATGCTTTCATTGCATTTCGCTTTCAGCTCTATTGAGAAGAGAGATGTGTAGAAATAGAAAGGGAGAGAGTGTGAGAGACAGAGAGAAGTAAGTTAATGATATAAAAAAAATGTTTGCGATCTATCCATCAAAGACAGAATCCACTATAACTAACTTAGACTCTGATGAGCTTGAATATCGATCAAATTGTTTAAGAGCTTTTATCGGTTAGAAACAGGAGCTTTTGAAGATCAAGGCTCTTATCACGTCAATAATATTCCAATGTTTGTCGATTAAGCTCCACAGCACGATTTAATATATTCAACGCTTTGTAACCGCTGAAGCTCCAATTCGTGGTTTCTGCGTCCTGATTTATTTCAAGGCGGCTCCGAACGGCTCGGAACGGAATTTTATGAGGAACCTTTTTTTCATGTCCGAAATACCTCTGCATTTGCAAACGCGTAGTAGAAGATGACGGTAAATTGATAAAATCAAATAGTACGCTTGGAGAATAATAAAGCGTCGAGAGTTGGTTGATACTGACTCAGTTATACCGAACCTGACAAGCAGGAGCGGCGATATACGAAATGAAAGCGCCACATTTCTTGCCACTTATCGTGGCATAAAAACCAAAAAAAAGTCGCTTCCAGTTTACGATCTGTTCGAACCATTTATCATTTATACGTCAAGTCATCGAAAAGGTCTTGCCATTGACAATACCATTGAGTTCAAAGTCTTGTGCGATACCATTAAAAGCAGCTGCTTTGAATGAAACTAGTATTTCCACAAAGTTAAACGGAAAATAAAATAATCTCTGCCATCCTTTCGCCAAAATCAACGAAATTTCGAATTTTTTCTAAAATTTTACTTACTCGTTTGAGCCAAACAAGAATTTGTACGCTCGAATTTGCGATAACTATCATCGCAGGTGCAAGTTACGTTACAGTGGCTGAAAAAAGTCGAGGCCAAACATTGCTCGTCAGTTTCACATGCTCCATCCAATGGCACATACTCTATAAAGAAGAAGAAATTGAATAGGAACTCTTTTTCTTGCATTTTCTCTACACACTGCGAATACAACGTCTCCAGTCTTTTGACGGTATGTAAGCCGCCTCGCAATAGCAGATATTATCCTTGGGATGACATTCCGAATGCGGTGCGTTACATGGACAATGCCCGCCGATTATGTTGTTTGTGCGCAGGATCTGTAGCAAGATTTCATTTCATTTATTCAATTTAATTATGTACGTGTTATGGTCATTTCAGACAGCCACTTAATTGAGGCAATTAATAAATAATTTTGAAAAAACTTTTCTAATTAATTGCTGGTTTGGTGGCTGAAAGAACTATAAATAGGTTTACATAAGGTCGGCAGTCGGTTTTTTCATGCGTTTCCTTGTTGTAACAATGACAGACACCCTTTACACATGTGGAATTGATAATTTTCGTTGCATAAAAATTACAATTCTCATCGCCAAGACAAGAGAACTCCATTAATTCTAATGTAATATAAACAAAAAATTATGTTAAATAAAATAAAATAAAATAAAATAAAATAAAATAAAATAAAATAAAATAAAATAAAATAAAATAAAATAAAATAAAATAAAATAAAATAAAATAAAATAAAATAAAATAAAATAAAATAAAATAAAATAAAATAAAATAAAATAAAATAAAATTAAAGTTGTACAAAAACATGCTTAATACGAGTGGTATATAGAAGGAAAATAAATATGTTATATGAAATTAAATATTTTTGTATGTTTACCTTCGGGAGTTGTTTCTGCGGTTGTATTCGTAACACAGAAGATAGCCAAAATTAACACAATAATCCGCTGCTGGAACATTTTAACTTAATATGGAATACTCAATAAATAATACAAAATGCCTTTATATATAATTAAATACAAAATTTATTATGGAGTCTCAGTCAATATACACCTGTTGACGATCTTTTACAAAAGTTTACAGTTATAAATATTTTTACATTTATGCGCATACCGTATTTATGGCTAACATTAGGGTGCTCGAGTGCACTTTTTCGCATTTCTCAGAATGATCGGAAATGAGCAGAAAATGAAAATGATTTCCATTTTGGTATATTTTTTTATTTTGTTATTATTAAAGTTTTAACCTAACTAGGCATGCTTTTTTTTAATAAAACATTCATTACATAATAACATAACAATGTAATTCTCTCTGTTAAGTATCTCAATGGGTGCGTTCAGCGAACTGAGCGCTCAGTAAACATGTTCAGTGAGCGGACCCTGAACGCTATGATTTGTTAGCGCTCAGTAAACATGTTCAGTGAGCGCTCACCATATTTTCAAGCGTAAAATTTTTATGCTACTTGCTAGTGATCGGTCTGCTGTATACAGAAAAAATGAGTCGCGAAAATTTAAAATGTTTTTACTTGAAAGGGGCTGTGACGACAATTTACTAGATTTTTTGGGTTGTCAAATAAAATAAGTTAGTTACGCCATCTGCACTAGATAAATGGTTTTTGAAAGAAAGAAATTCAAAAGAGAGGAGCAAACATTTTTATGAAGAAACTGTGCCGCTTCACAATTAGTTTCGACAGTTGAAGTAGCATTGCCTTCATGAAAATTAATCGCTCAGTTAAATCGCTCACTGAACATGTTTACTTAGGACTCAGCTCGCTGAATGCATCCAATGTAATCCTTGATAGCTGAAATTTAGTAAACATCTTGAAAGTAGGACCAGGAAAGCGCTAGGAATTTGTAATACCTGCAGAAGCCATTCTACCAAAATGGGGACTTCGGACTTACATATGGCTTTTCATAAGTGCCACATAGAGCGACATTAAAGAAGAAGTGCTTAGAGTAAAGGGACCACTTAGCTGACTACTTGGTATAGCAGATATCTGAATTCGGTATAAATGTAAAATGCGACCGAGAAATGGAAACCGGGTAGATGTTACTCACTACTACTTTCCTAGTGGAGAAGAGTGTACGGAAGGCGAGCCCATCGGCAACAGTGAAGATGTCCATATATATATTAATGGGTTTATACATCTGCTTGGGTTCTTCTGCGACCACGCTAATAACCAAGTGACTATAACTCTGTATTCCAAGTAGAGATCGTGAGCATTACTGTAGGTGCCGAATGGTCAACCGCGTTAAAGAGGAAATCTATCAGGCTTTTGGCAGACAGCCCGGCAGCAATTAAATTCGTTAGAACATGCAAAAAGGCAATTAACCGGATATCGTGAGAAAACACTGGTTAGCGCTGGCGATGATGTCACCATAGACTTTCTCAGACCCTTTGGTGTCTTCTAATGTTATTGAAAGCAATGGAACATAGAGGAACACTCAAAATCTTGAAAACCCTTGTATACTAAATGGGAAGTACCACTAAATAATTGTAAGGCAACGTAGTTAGTAGATAGATCAAACATTCACTTGTATTAAATAAAAGTAAACTTAGCATTCTTATGGGGGCATTAACGGTGCATTTACCCTTGAGCTAGATAAAATGTAATCGACTATATGCAGAGCAGTCACAGTAGATTACGAAAAGCTGGTGCACTGCCTGTGTGAGTATCCGGCTTTCTGCCGATCAAGTCGTCATATCTCTCACGGCGCTCCCAGCTCCAATCACATGGATGTGGGAACGCATTGTTTTTAGAAAATAAAAATAAAAATAGAATAATAAAGTCGAGTGAACTTTTCACAAACGCCTAGTTGGAATACCCAGAGGAGTACATTGAGCTTGCTTAATAGCTTAGGTGATGCTGTTTGCGGTTAGATTTTCATTCCAACCAACCCATCAGTTACGTAATAAAGATTCTCGATTTTTCTTAAATTTAAAGAATTTTTAATAAAGCCAAGTAGTGCCCTACATTATGCGCAGGCTCAAATATCGCAGCCTGAACAGATCAATATCCAAAATTATAGAGAATTTAATTTTCTAATTCAGGTCGCCCCTCGTCAGGGAATATCAAGACCTCCCAGTGTATTTTTGATACGAAATATAAGCTCCTCATAAAAATTCTGCGGCCGCGGTAGCCGAGTGGTTAGCATTGCGTGCTGCGATTCGAAAGGCTCGGGTTCAAATCCTGGTGTCGTACAAACATCCAAAAACTTAGATAAAAAATTAAGTTAAATTTTCTAACTGCGATCGCCCCTCGGCAGGGCATGTCAACCCCTCCGATTGTATTTCTGACATGAAATAAAGCTTCTCATAAAAAACCATCAGCCGTTCGGAGGCTACTTCGTATAAACTGTAGGTTCCTCCATTTATTGGAAAAACATCAAGACATATACTTATATCAGAGATGCTCAACAAACGCAACGATCTCATTTCGGCACGATCTCATGCAGCCTTGATATACGAACCTCGTATATACATATTTAAGTCAACATGCTAACAGACTTAAGGAAAGAACAGAGAGCCACAGAATTGCGAAAGTTACGTGGAGAACATAATCGCGAAACTTACTACGTTCTTACTACGTCGTATGTCGTAAGCTTCTGATTTAGGTCTGGTATAGGACAACAAGTACAAGAAATGTGCGGAGAGGAGCGTAACACAGGCAAACTAATAATGAAAAAGGTCCAAAGCGACTTTTTCACTTTCCGAAAAGAACAGCAATATTTCTTAAGCTGTAAGTGCAGCTTTGCAAAGCTTTGGTCATATGCAGTGTATCTGGTAACTCTATGGAGTCAATCGGCTTAACTTAACCTAAACTAAATAGTTGATCAATGAAGGCGTATCACACTACTTACACTGCTTGATATCCAGATATTTTGAGGTCTAATGTCGAGCTAACAACTCCATGGACGAGATGAAATAGTCATCGAGTGCGGACAAAGTTTACAGAAGACAACTTTATATCAGAAGTGACAGACAATTAACCATCCGTCGATATTAAAATCAATTTACTTTTCGTTCGAATTTGAAACCGGTACGAAAGTTAGCATTTCAGTTTTAGACGATTTAGAGAGCTTATTGTATTGTATTCTTATTGTCTTTTGAGTTAACCCTTGATATTCACCAGATATTCACATACCTTCTGAATGCTTCTTGTGTATTTCTATGGGCATTAATTTAGGGTTAAGGAAACCGTTTTATAAATTACAGCAATTACAAGCAAAAAATTATTTCATCGTTTTCGTTCAGTATCGCTTGAATAGTAATTTTTGAATTCGTTTTTTATTTGTCTGTCATTCGAGCAATAAATTTATTGTCTAATTATGAAATTATATTTGTGCGATTCAGCTGATGATGAACCTGAAGACAGTGTGAGCGAGGAGGAGCACTCAGATGAGATTGAAGAAGATGAAGAGAGTGCAAGCTCGAATGAAGAAGATGAAATGCCTAAAAAAACTAGTGATGAGAAGGATAATGAAGAGAAGCAGACCAATGCGAATGCAGGAGTTACTAAAACTGTAGCTAAAGTTAATGGCAAATCTACCAAGGCTGAGGAATCCGAAAACAGTTCCGACGGATCTGTGAATACCGATGACGATGACGAAGTGGAAGCCAATGGCATAAAGGCCGAACCAACGGATACAAAGCCGCCCAACAAGACAAAATTGATGCAGATGGCGTCGAATGTACCAGCGCGTCTAAAAAACACTAGTACTGAGACAATGGTGCTGGAAGCTATAAAAAGTCTCAACGAGCGTGGTGGATCCTCGGCGATAGCCGTTAAAAAATACGTAATGAATAATTATCCACAGTTGGATGGTGAGCGTACGTTGAAACTAATTAAAAAGTATATCAAAAAAGCGCTGAGCGGTGGGATATTGGTACAGTCGAAGGGTACTGGGGTAGGCGGTTCGTTTAAAGTGTCCGCAAAAACAAGTCGACTGGAAGAGCAGAAAGAAAGAAAGAGTCATAAAAAGTTGAAGAAAAGCAAGATTGCTGAAGTAAGTGACACATTTTTTTTATAGCTAATTTGTTTTAAGAATTGTGTTGTTATTTGTTTTTTTTTTTTAAGGCGGATGAAAAGACAAAAACAGCAACAAAAACCACAACGAAAACTAAAGAAAACGGTGTGAAGAAAGAAGCAAAAACCAAAAGGAATATAAAGGCAAAGGTAAAGGTTACACAGAATGGAACAGCCGAAGCAACAGTCAAGGGGCCGAAGGCCTCAGCTGCTTTACCAAAAGTGACCAACATAAAACAAACAAAACCAACAACAGCCAGCAAAGAAGCAAAACCATCAACGGCAGAGAAGTCAAAGGTGGTAAAACAAAACAAAAACGGAAAAAGTAATACCAACGGCATAGCTGATGTGAAAGCTGAGAAAGTAAAGAAAGCTACACCCGCCTCAACTGCATCGGCACACACGCTGAACGGTGGTGAAACGGCGCCCGTAAAAGCGGAGCCGAAAGGCAAAGCGCCAACAAAGAAGCAACCAACCACCAAGGGCAAGGCATCTGCCAAGGAAAGTGTTGAAATTGGCTCAGGAGATGCAGATACAATGATGGCCGCCAAGAAGACTGCAGGAAGGAAGGCAAAAGCCAAGTAGCCGTGGATAGCCGTGCTTAAAATTTTCATATACTCAATTTAAAAGTAAAAAACGACCGATTGGGAGAAAGATTTTTTTATTTTCGATTCGAGCTTTAAAAACGTGCATTTCAAATAAGTATTTTAAATAAAATTATCTTGTAAATTATAACTGATGAATTTTTTATATCGCTGTAAGTAAGATTCATAGGTATTTTAAGATCAAGCAAAGCAGTGTCACTCTTTATGCACCTTCCCACCACCTGTGGACTCTAACCTGACTGAAATATGAATAGGTGTTTGGTATGTAAAGAACCCTGAACATGTCATCTTCTCGTTTCGCTAGTAAAACCTGAGTTTCTATCGTATTTTATTTAGCAAAATCTATCGGCTTTAACCCTTACATGAACGGAAACTGCAGAGCTTTTTAACTGCTATAACCACACTTTTCTTTTCGCTACATATGGCAGGACTTAGCGATATATGATATCTTAAGCTATACTTTGGTGGTAAGTATTGCGTGCTGTCGTTCTAGAGTCCATGGTTCGAGTCCTAGTTCGACTAACATCCATAATTATAGAAAATAAATTTTTCTAATAGCGGTCGCCCATCGGCAGGGAATGTCAAGACCTCCTCGCAGTATATTTCTGACACGAAATATAAGCTCCTTAAAACCGTCAGCCGTTCGGAGGCGGCTTAGAATAAAGAACCCATTTGTTGGCAAAACATCAAGACGCATACTACAAGTTGGAACTTCAGCGGCAACAAAGTGACAATCATATAGTATATATATCTATTTATGTATTATCTAGCCTTCATCTTCATCTCTTTAACTTTTTTTTACCACGAGAATGCCCAATGGTTAAACACTTCTAAGAAAATCTCCATCGGAGTCCTCGAAGGATTTTTAATGCTCCACTGTGCTCTATTTGGATACCCATCTTACACTGACGGAAACTTTATTGACGGACTCGGAGCAGAACAACAATGGCAACAGGTAATGTATGGATTCGAAGAACTCCATTGGAATGAACAGAGTTCACGAAGGTGCTGACGGACTCTTGGTCAGTGGCGTTCAAACTCTCTTGGTGCGTCGTCCTGTCCAGTGGTTCTTGTCTATGATGCTGTATGAAATCGATGTAGTTTATTACTCTTTTTCTGATGTGCATGGATGGATGTTTGGCTTCAAATAAACGTTTGGTAAGATTCCCTGCTGGTAGCCAGATGCCAATATCGTTTCATCATCGGCATTAGGTGTTTTACGGAGCTTGGAAGTTTGAAATTGAAACTCTAACATTGACTTTCGATCAAATAGTTCGAATCCTCTTCAATTCCGGCGGTGATGAGAAATATCTTGAAAGTCCGATAGTATCACTGAGCCATCTGGGTGTTTATGGTGCTGTGCGCTTTTCGAAAAGTATGCTGTTATGCTGGCATCTTTGCTAAGGGTAAGGAGACATAACGGCCAGTAAGTTTCTCCTTTGTGCTATGGCTTACTAGGTTCAAGCAATGGGAACACTTTACCCAGTTTCCACAATGTCGGGTATCATTAGAGTGGCGAAAAACAGATTGAGAGATTTGGTAAGTCTGCTTCCGCTGGACTCGGGGGACCGATAGACTTTGAGCCCTTCCCCTTCTTGATAACTGCTGAACATCTTCACTGGAAAAATCAAGCCCAGGTGTTTGGGCGTTCTCATTAAATTCCATGAAGTCGCGACCGCTAACTGTATTAAGGATTGGAGGGCCTGGCAATTGCGATGCGAGAGTGAACTTAAAGTTGGCAGGTTATGCTGTTTATCAGACCAGCGCTGGCAAATGTTATGTCAGGTGAGCTATGGTCATCTTAGAGGAGTCGTAGCCGTTCATGGTGCAGGAATTCAAATCGTGTAACCAAATACTCCAAAGATCGTGGATCACCAGAAAATCGCCCAAAACCAAATGATTGTATCCGCTTCTCGGAGGACTGAGCCTCAGAAGGATTGAGCGCCTGTTTAATTCAGTTTCGTGAATCACAGCTATTGGCAGGTGCTCCCGGCTCATGAACTCGACTATCTCGTGGACCATTCCCTCGAGTCCATTGTACATAGGTAAACTGTAACAGTCTGGTCTGTCTCGGAGCGACGTTTGTAGGGTGTTTGCTTGCTCGTCATTAAAGATCATATCGGTATGAAACTGCGGAAAATGAAAAAAGAATAGTTCATTGACTCTTCATTTAATATCTCGCCCGAGGTAATGTTAAGCTTAATTATCATACGACCTCTCCAAAGTGTCTGATATATGACTTGCGATTTGTATGGCTTTCTTAAAGATTTACATGAGCAGTTCAAATTTGTTTCTAGCCATCTCTTTTCGGATCCTTTTCTTTGTTGTAGAGCTAATCTTAACCCTTGTCTTTTACATATAAAAATGACTCTCTATAGAAGATACATGTTCTATCTAGTAATTTTGCCAACATTTTTATATTAGAGCCCAATCTTTGGCAGCTCTATAAATTATTTGTATTGAAATTAGAAATAAAAATATATAAATTTCCTGTGAATATTATTAAAAAAAATATAAAAATCTAGAAAAAATGAAAAAGTCATTCAAAAACATAGACAAATCCAAGGAAATGTTAAAAAACGATTTCCGTTATTTTAAACGTGGTCCGACTTTTAAGCCAGCACAAGAATGTGTTAAGGACGACAGTTCGGATATAACATCTTGGAGTTCGAATGCGTTCAGGCAATACCGAAAGTTTAGCGCCGAAACTTTGGTGATCAAGGCGGTGAAAAGTCTCGCCGAGCGTAAGGGCTCATCGGTAGTGGCAATCAAAAAATACATGATTAACCACTATCCATATGTGGATGGAAAGTTTACGCTGCCCGTTATCCGGAGGGTAATTAAGAGAGCATTGCTCAAAGGGAAGTTAGTCCAATGTCAGGGTAATACAATGGATGGACGTTTCAAGATATCAGCTGGAGAAATACGTGCCGAACAGCAGCAGGAACAATTTAAGCACCTTAAGGAGTGCCTTAAACTAAGAGAACACCAAAAGCAGGAGCTGGTAAGAGCGGAAAGAGTACAATGAAAACAACTGTAATAACAAATTTAATTTTCAGGAACGGAAAATTCTCAAGAACAGAGCAAAAGAAAAACAGAACCGGCAGAGTATTCAAGAAAAAGAGTTCGCTGAGATACAACAACGAAAGAAAGCTGCAAATGCGGCCAAGCTAGCGAAAGACAATTTGACTGCACGAGCCGCCAAAGATATGCTAAATTTCACGCAAAATTATCTCAAACAGAATGAGGAGACATATCCCTTTAAGACCGCGCAGCGTTTAGGTGCCGGCACTTCAAAATCCTTTCAACCGCCGCAAGCACAAATAGTTGATTACGCCGATGCCGCTGTAGCGACGGCGAAAGTCATAAGCTCAGAGCAGCTAAGGAAAGCTATTATTACCGCAGCCGAGTATGTGCCGAATCTTCCAGCTTTCGACGGCAGTAATTTAAGGCGTGATCTCGGTGTTAGACACATGCCGATCAAATATGAGCGTACAATAAGAAAGGATAATCCAGTCGATATCTCCTCATCCGACAAGTTCAATGATACTCCAAAATATCTTAATACTATTATCCCCAGAAATAAACTGCCGAGTATAGATGCAGCTGTAAACTTTCGGTCCCCATCTGCTGAATTTGTGGTTGGACAAAACACGGCATGCAACAAAGCTTTTTCTCCCGTCAGTACTGCAGGGAAGATCACGAAGCGTGCTAAAGGCAATACCGGTTCTAAATCTGGTTTTAACAGTACCAAAGCTGTTAGGTAGTGTTTTGTTTTTGTAAAAAGGAATACTAAAATTTTATGTGTAGTGTGTGTTCGAATTCAAAAGTGTTTATTATAATCAAACAAATCTTAAGCCAAATTATTTTATCTCATAGAGGGCGCTGGTGCAGCTTAGTGTCTTCAGAGACGATACTGATGTTTGAAATATTCGTTTGTCCATATATTTGAGGAAACCCTTTTATGTTAGGGTAATATTGTTAGAAATTTATGTACAGTTGAGATGGCCATAAGAGGAAGACTGATAAATCTCACGTTTCGGATTTTCTCCGCTCTTCGGCGATCTGAATATGAAGTAACTAGTCTCTTTTCGAGCCTACGGATTAAGTAGTCTGAGTGTAACCGTAGATATCTTTTTTATACTGTTTTTAGACTTTAATAGCAAGGGGTCACATATAAGCGTTTGCTGGTCACGAGGTCGAATTCACAGAAATAGCACAAATAGAAATAAACAACTTCTCTCAGGTTCTGCCTCAAGAAAGAATGATTTAAATGCTTTTCTCCGATGAGCTGAAGGGAGATAAATACCCAACATTTTGTGCACAGCATTGTGGAGTGAATTTGAGGGAGTGCCACGAAGAGGACGGCTTCCAAGAAAAGCGACTAACGAAATAATTATGGAAGACGAGGAGCCATATAAACGAACACAAGTTTGATGTTGGGCTTCTTGTAGCTGAGATCCTCTGTCGTCAAATTATACTTTCAATGAGCGCTATCTCCACCATTGCACAATGGTGTTTGAGGATATCGGCCAGATTCCAACTTCATTTAGCTTTTCCATTAAGCTTTTTCAGGATCGAAAGAAACCAAGCGATAGCCAGGCGGCATATATACAGTAATTTCGATTTGAGTGGTTTGCGTGGTATTACCATCGTAGTAGCAAAGAAAGAATCTCCACACACTGGGAGAGTGTGATTTCGTAAAGCTTAAATGACAATGGATAGCCGAGACTTTCTCTGGTCGCGTCGCGCTTATGCTATCTAAAAGTGTAAATAGAGCATTTATGAGATCCCTGCGCATCAACCATAAAAAAAACGTTGAGTTTCTTTCGATATCCAGCAAGGAACGGTGATGATACCGTCGGTTTAAGTGCATGCCTTGTGGAAGGAGTAGCGTGAGTTAAAGGGAAGGAGATACACAATTGTAGACAGCAGAAAGTGGCGTGTACGAGTAGTTTGAGTAGTAGACTGAGAGCAAATTACCTTAGTAGTTTTTTATATTTTCCCCTTTTTGAACGATTTTTTTACTTTCAATTTGTTTTTCTTGTATCTTCTTTTTAGCCAGAGATTTTTTAATCAATACTGTTATTTGCACATAATACAAATAGATTTTTTTATATAAATCTCGCCCAAAATTTTTTTATTTTTTACTTAACCTACATCTTAGTGTTTATTATCCTTCATTTTGCACCCCACCTAAGAATTGTGTGGCTTAAAAGAGCTATAGAGTGCTCAAGCGATTTGTTAAATTCACTTAATTTGTATCCTTAGCTTTGAATCGGGCCAGAGGGAAGCTAATTTAAATATTTAGTTCATACCAGCTGAAGCAACAGTGCCAGTGAAGTCAACAATATATTTTGTGAAGTCTACGTGCCTTAAACAAAATGTTGTTATGCTTTGCAATTTTTTGTCCAACGCAAAGAAAAATGGCTAAACCTTTAGCTTGACCAAATAACCGACACATTAATCTCTAACGGATCTACGTGCGCCTTGAAACTGTGAATAAACTATTTCTGTGTGCAAGAACAGAAAAATCAAGCTGAAAAAGAAAATGTCGAAAAAAAATCTATTCCACACCGAGGGGTAGGCGAACAGAGAGAGAGAGAGCGAGAGAGAGTGGACAGATTATCCTTTGCCATTTAACCGTTATAAAAATCGCTGCATGAAGTTAATTAAAACATTTAGCAGACAATTTAGAGAATCTTTAGTTGAATTTAACCGTTATTAACTTTTTAGACTGAGTGATAAGAAACTAAATAAACATTATTTTAAATGTTCTCCTTTTTTCGCTTATATTGTGTATGAATTTAAAAAATGGGGCAGAATGTTAAAGAATATTAAAAACGGGTGGAGTTAAGTTAGAACTCAGCTTGTAATCACTTCTGCTCATGAATAAAAACAAAACCGATTACTTTACGTCTGTATCTGAAAAGACTTTTGAAATATGATTTTATTTTATTTTATTTTGATTGTTTTAACTATTTATTTATTTTGTTTAAATTTATTTTATACTCGTATAAATTAATTTTATTATAGTTAATATTATTATTTTTTCTTCAATTTTAAATTTTACATATTTTTATTTTCTTTTATTTTAATTAATTTACTTTTTATATTTAACTTTTTTTATTTCAGTTTATTTAATTACATTAAATGGCATATTATTTTTGGTCTGACGTATGTAAGTACCAAAAGGTGACGGCAACGACCTACCACAAATCATTCCGATCGGCACAGAATGACGAACTGAGTTGATTTAGCCATGTTTGTTGGTCCATCTGTTTGTTGGCAAAGTAGTCCTTCAGTAGTTCAAACAATCTTGGTATGTAGACCTGTATAAAATAGAAATATTCGACTATAACATGTATTGTAGATTCCATGTAACCGATCTGTTCAGATATGTGGTTTAATGAAATTGCCCTGGACACTGAACGCACGTTTAATCAAATAAACGATGACACCGAAAATCTTTGAGATCTGCAGACTTTGTTTTATAGCTCCTCATAACCACAGATAAAAAAAAATTAATATTGTCCATAATTTATTTTATTTTCCTTTGTTTAGTTTTATATATTTATTATAGTATGTTTAGCTTATATTCTTTTTTAATTTATTTTATTCTGCTATTTTTATACTTTACTTTATATCATTTAATTGTAACTTATATCTTAATTTTTTTATTTAAGTTTTTTTATTTAATTTAATTTTTTAAAACTTATTTAATTCTTTAATTCTGTTATTTTTTATATTACTTAACTTATTTATTTTTTGTTTTGATTTATTTTAATTTACTTTTATTTAATTTTGTCCAATATTATTTTCTTTATTTTATTTAACTTCTTTTATTTGGTCTCCTTTATTTTATTTTAAATTATCATTTTTTTCACTTTAATTTATATTATTTTATTTAGTTAATTTTTTTAAATTATTGTATATTAAATTATTATATTTTTAATTTTTTTTTTTAAATTTATTTTAATTGAGCTAATTAAATTTTATTTTAAATTGTTCAATTTAACATGTTAAGTTATTTTATATTTTTATTTTCTTTTAATTGTTGTAATAAAGATAAATTAAATTTATTTATTTTACTTTATATTATTTTATTTAGACAATTTTTTTTTAATTATTGTATATTAAATTATTATATTTTTAATTTTTTTTTAATTTTTTTTAATTGAGCTAATTAAATTTTATTTTAAATTGTTCAATTTAACATGTTAGTTTATTTTATATTTTTATTTTCTTTTAATTGTTATAATAAAGATAAATTAAGTTTATTTATTTTATTTTATATTATTTTATTTTATTAATATTTTTTAGTTTTTTTTTGGTTTTTTTGCCTTTTTTATTTTCTTTTATTTAATTTAATTTAATGTTTTTAATCTGTTTTATTTTATTTGAATATCTTAATTTGTTTCATATTATTTTATGTTAGTAAATTAAATTTATATTATTTGACTTTAGATTTGAAAAAAAAGATTAATTCAACTTGTTTTATTTTGAGGTTAATTTTATTTAAGTTTATTATTTCTTATTTTATTTGATTTTATATTTTTTATTTTACTCTATTGGCTTTTAAGATATTCTTTAATGATAATATTTTATTATTTTCATTTTGCATTGTTTTATGCTTTGATTACTGCTTATTTAATTTTATTTATATTTTTGATCTTACTTTATAATTTATTATTTAATATTTTTTTTATTTTAATTTAATCGTTTGAATTTATTTTTAATTTTCTTTTTTTTTAATATTAATTGGGTTATTTAATTTTTTCTTTTAGTTTTTATTACGATATTTTATGTTAATGTAAATAATTAATTATAATTTTGTATTAATTTTATGCTACTTAATTTGTTCTATTTAAATTTTTACGTTGAATTTAATTTTTTTTTTAATTGTATTTTCATTTTTGATAACCTTTTTATTTTTCAAATAATTTATTGTAATTTTATTTAATTATTATTCATTTTAATTTTTAATTATTTTTATTTAGAATAATTTAATTTTATTCAAGATTAAATTTTTTATTCATTTTTAAAATTATTTTTATTATATATTTTTATTTAAATTAGTTCAATTTATTTTTATTTTATTTTACATTTTCTTTTTCAACTACGATTGCTTCAAAGGCAATCTACCAAACTGGCATTCAACACATGCATAAATTTACCATAAACAGAAGAAACTATTAAATACTTCAGTTGCCTCTTCAAGCATTGTAAATAGTAAAAATGCTTTTATAACATACTCTTACGTAATAGATACACTACTCACGAACCAATTTAAAAGATACGCATGTGCTACCAACAATTATGTCATGACAGTCGCATGAATGCGTGAGAAATCTAAAGAATTCATACCGTCAACAGAAATTAAAGTATGGGGCAAATGAATCGGCTGCTCACTTTTCACCGCCCACTGTGCGAGCGTTGATTCTTGCTATACCCTTTATTTATGTATGCATGTATGTACACACATATATAATATATGCATATAAAAACCGTATCTAAATTTCTTCCGCTTCTCGGCATAACTGGTAATCTTTTTTTGTTTTAACAAATAATACAGAAATATATGCACTTATGTTATGTGTGAATTATGTGTATTCATATATATATATATATATATATATACATATATTTCAATGTGCGTGCTCTTTGTCTGCCTTTGTCCCTTTTATGTGTCCATTTTCATTTCTATATTTAAGCCAAACAAAAAAGAAAATAGCCAAGTTCCTCCAAGTGTGAAACGTGCAAATATGACAAACATCATAATGAAGATAGAAGTTACTGGCACAATTCAGTAAGATAATTTATATACAAGCATCACTGTGTACATAATCGTACATAT